GCCACGAGAAACCCTGCCTTGTTGGCTTCTCGTCAACAATTCAGTGAGGCCCCTACACTTTTCTTATTGTACATGATCAAGTTGGCCATCACTCATCTCCAAGCCCCGATGCCCTTAGGTCGTGGCCAACATCCAAACTGGTGGCCACTTGGGACAAGACGACATAGCATGGCAAGACGCAATCTACGACTCGGTATGCCAAGCCATCACTACGACTTGGTGGTAAGATCTTCACATCAAAGTCTAATAACTTCGACTCAAAATTTCCACTTTGTTATTTTCTCTCTATTTTTTCTTATATAGCCATGATTGGCTTTTATTTATTAATTAATATATATGATATTTATTTATTTAAGATAACAAGGAGTGACAAACGTCACTGCTCTCCATCGCCTCTGGCAACAACTAATGCGCCAAAGGTGTACACCCACCGCCAAGTCCATGGATTAAAACATGCAAGCCATCCATATACCACATGCCTCTTTTCCTCCATGGAACATGATTCTCCATACATTAGCTTACCAGTGGGTGGTATATGATCAATATGTTTAGCCTTGGTGGCCTTACATGGGGTCCCATGCTCCTGTGCTTTGGCCACCTTACTTGACATGTCAAGACAACCATGAGTTTTCCTCTTCCTTGGATGCCTCTCGATTGAGACATGCTTACTCTCCTCATGTTGTTTGAGACGATGTTCAGTCTTGACAAGTCGGCGACCACCCATGTGGACCACTTGACTTTGTCTTTCAACCTCCAAACCTTGTTGGCTCCTACCCTTAGCACGCGACCATCTTTGGTTCTTTGTGAGGCCATGTCTGGTTTGTGCGTATGATACCTTCTTATGCATGCTCCTATGTCCATCATTCATGATTGATGGCATGTACTTACTACTCATGGACATGGACTTGCCCCCCTGTCCACACTTAGCCAAACTTGCGTACTTATCACAAGCATGTGTAGGTTGGAATTCTTTTAGATTCTTGGACATGCCCCCTACTCCATTATTCATGGTGGGTGACATGCCTCCTTGCCCATACTTAGCTAAATTTTCAACACTACGAGAACTCTTTTTGGCTTTCCCACGTCTTTTCTTGTTGGACTTGACCTCATGTCCACTGTTGATGATTAGTGGCATGCCCTCTTGTCCAGACTTAACCGTAGTTTTACACTTGTAAAAGCCTTGGATGGCTTGGAGATGTTGTGTCTTCCAACACATGACCCCTACTTCATACTTCAGGATGGGTGACATGCCCCCATGTCCAGGTTTAGCCAGACTAACATGCTTATCATATGCATGTATGGCTTGGATTTCGCGTGGCTTCTTGGACATGCCTTGTCCATAATTAGCTAAATTTTCAAATATGCAATAACTTTTTATGGCATTCTCGCGTTGTGACTTGTTAGATATGCCCCAATGTCCACTACAAGTGGTTGGAGGCATGCCCCCCTTTCCAAACTTAGCCAAATTATTATGCTTAGCACAAGCATGTGTTGCTTGTGATTGATGTGGCCTCTTAAACATCACATGCTCCCCAAATGGTCTTCTCGATTTCATCTTGTGGAGTGGTAAACTTACGTGCCCCCCTTGCTGGGCTCTAGGTGGTTTGAGTCTATTAGAATATGCTCCTTGTCTACTCACTAGGGGTGGCAATGGGGGTGGGCGAGCATAATGTAGTATTTGGTTCAGTTTCAAGAAATGCAACCACCTACGTCATCGACATGGATCCTAGATGGTCTTATATCTAGAATGGGCGGTTGAACTCCACTTTGTACTGACAAATCCCCATCGTGGTTCTTGAACGTGCAAGCCAAATTTTGGCCACAACTCTCATGTTGAGAAGGCAGTTGGCTTGTCACCGATGTCGACAAGGCTCCTACCCATGGTCGACCCTTTTGACAAACAGTGGAAGAAAAATTCTCACTCCATGTAACACTATTTAGTGGTGGATCTTTCCTATTCATTGGCAAAGTCTTTGATTGAACCACAAATGTGTTTGAGACATGTCTAGACTCATAAAAATGGTTCTGAGTCTTGCTCAAGTTGCCAAACCAATTATATAGACATGTATCCATCAAAGAAATGAGAGAATCATGACGTTCAATGAGAGAATCGATACGTTCAATAAGAGAAGCATGGCGCTTAATATGAGAAGTTAAACGTCGGTTTACCTGTTGGGGGTCAACCATACCCTCCTCAATGGATTGATGGAGCGAAGTGATGGAAGCTGCTTCATCCAGACTTGTCGCCGGTGCTGGCAGAGCCTTCATCCCGCCATTGTTTCCAGCAACAACATCCACTCGACCAACTTTGAAGCTAGTCACTTGATCCTCTTCTACAACGACTTGTAGAAGATCTTCATCTTGTTGTCTAAGTCTTGGAGCCATCATATCAAACACAAGGTCCCACCAGGTGTGCCAAATTTGTTTTCTGGTGAGAAAACTTGCGTTGAAATGAGATTAATGCACCTTTGACTTCTTTGGGCACCGATTACTAAGACACGGCTCACACCTCTTCAAACAAAGTTCGAACGAGGGTGTTTGATTGATGGTTTATGGGAACGAGATCTAAATTAAATTACTTCTACTCCTATGGAGGTTCGGCGAGAGCTCCAAACTACGAGCTACATCTATGGCTACATGATAGAGAAAAGGTAAAGGATAAACTTGACATGTGTGTCAGAGTGTTGGTTTTGGAACCTCTGTCTCTGTCGACCCCTCCTCTTATTTATAGCCCCGAGGAGGTAACCGCCATAGAAAATCGCTTGTTGGATAACTGCTACAAAGAACTGCTCCTCTTTCTTCGGTGGAAAAACCGCTTCTTGGATAACTCCCAAAAAGAACTGCTCCCTGCTTCCTCGGAGTGGTGGTTACTCCTTCAACCGCCTAGGTGCCTTTGTTGGAACCGTCTTGGGTTTTGGAGTGTAGCTTGCCTCGCCTGGTCTTGTTCTGAATCTCGTGCCATGCTAGTCTTTTGACGAGCATGTGGTGTCTCACAAAGGGGGTCGTGGTCTTCTTGCCTCGCGGCCATGGACTTCTTACTCATGTCCATGGCCTTCTTGTCTTACGGCCATGAACTTCTTACTCATGTCCATGGCCTTCTTGTCTAACGGTCATGGACCTCTTGAGACATATTCACTAGTGATCCATCACCATGCCCTTCTCATTCGTGTCCATGGCCACTCTTGTGAAGTGGCATGGACTTCTCAATCATGCACAAGGCCCCTCTCATGAGGCGGCATGGCCTTTCCATACTTAGTATTTTCAATAATTTCTAACGCTTCTTGCTTCGCGTCCATGGCCATCACATGACACGACCATGGACCTCTTAATCATGCACATGACCCTTCTCGTGAGGCGGCATGACCATCTCAGACTTAGTATATTTTGGATCATGAGGCGACATGGCCTCCTCATTCATGCCCTTCTCGAGACTTAGAATATTTTTGACTGTATCGAGGTCTTCCTTGAGATGGCATGTGCTTCTAAATTCTAGATGGACATGTTTTTGTGTCGTTTGGTCTTGGTTATGAGGCGGCATGACCTCTTCATTCATGGCCATGGACTTCTCATACTTAGAAATTTTCATGCCATCTCGTGGCATGGCCTCTTACGCCCATGTCACTTATTGAATCATGTCCATGCTCATTAATGAGCTAGTGACTTGGGTTTAAAATCAATATCCATAAGGCCCAATTTAAACAACATTAATTGTTATAATGGGTGTGGCCTTATAAACTCCTTGATTATCTTGTAACTCACCAATGTGGTACAAGACAAAATTTATGATGTAAACAACTCTACATACATATGTACAATAATGAAATGGGCTAAATGGTCCGCTAACAGATGCTTCCTTTTCCAAGTTCCAGCTCCGTTCTCAAGTCAAGAAAGCTGCGATCGCTTCGTCCTTGGGTTAGCCCAAGGTTCGTAGAAGAACGTTAAAAGCAGAAGTTGGGCTTGAGCCCATTGATGTAACCAGGCAGCACTACCCCAAGAGAAAAAGGATTTAGACGAGGATGAATTTCAACAATCCTCCATTTAACATTCCCACTACAACTCACATTTCATAGCTTTCTCAAATTTTCTTGCCCCTTAAGTTCGATGACACAACAAGGCTTCACGATCAGTTACACTGCAGACTTCCTCCACAGCGACGGCAAGGAGCATTCTGGTTGTTCGTCGCCGTTCGACGATCATCATCGCCCTAGAGAGACAAACTCGAGAACATATAATACCCAAATTGAAGTGAACCCAGGTTTTAAAACCATCCCACATAGAACCAGACAGAAATGTATTAGTATCTGCTATAGGGAGCTATTGCCATCTATCTTCGCCCTGAGCCATCCACCTGATCAACTCCCCTGATTGCAAGACAGCCGACTGGATTTTTCATGATGTAATTGGTGTTCGAAGTAGTTATAATGGTGAGAAAATAATGGCATAGCCACGTTTTCGAACCAAAAGAAAATCTCAATGATAACAAACTGCACCTGAGGTAACCGAAAAATATGTCTATCACAAGCAGGTTTACTCCAATGGGATTTGTACTCAACGTTCGTGAACGAAAATGTTAGAAACAAAGTTTCTAACGGTTGTAGAATTAGGGAAATTAGCTAGATCAATTAGGGATTGATCAAACTAGGGATTAGGAGTAGGAGAATTTAGGAAGAAGAGAGGGGAAGAGGCTGCTGCCGAGCAGCAAAGGGAGAAGAGGGAATAGGGGAGTTCGGCGCAGGGGGGAAGGAAAAGAGAGAGAGAGTAGTTTAGGTTTTCTGTAATTGATTGCTTAATGAGAAAATAACTCCTACTGCAGATTATATAATCCGCATAATTCCTATCTACTACCCAACAAATAAAACATAGTAATCGACTCCCGGTTTAATGCCCAAATTCCCCAAATAATCCCCCAATTAACAAAACCGACAAATAAAGCAAATTAACCAAAAGCTGCAAATTATTTGTTTCTAACATCCCTGCCTCCTTGGGAAGCAACCTTGTCCTCAAGGTTGAGGCTTCTCTCGCCCAGCGCCAGAATCCTCTGTGACTTCGTCCTCGGCCTCATCTTCCCAGCGCCCCACCAAGAACATTAGATCAGGTTTCCCGCATTTGTGACCAAAGGTGAACCTCTCATCACAATTAAAACATTTTCCCTCCCGTCTCTTCTGCTCAATCTCGGCAGGTGACAACCTAGTAAACCCCTTGGGCGGAGCCCTTGGTCCCGCTCGAATGGCCGCTGTGGTTGGACCAGTCGTCACTCCCCCTCCAGTGCTAGGGCCCAGCGCCGGGACCCCTGGGCTGCTACTCGGTCCGCTTCCACTTCCTCCTCCACTCGGCTTTTGATACCGGCCTATCACGCCCCGCCAGCTAGCCAGTTCCTCCTCCTTATTACCTGCAAGACGGAAAACAGCTCGCAGTGAATCAAGCTCAAATACCCGGACAGCCGCTGCAATCTCCGGTCGGAGCCCCGCCATGCACAAGCCCACCAATGTCTCTTCTGGGACACCCTTGCATTGGTTTCCCAGCTTGAAGAACTCGGCCCTATAGTCCGCCACCGTCCCTGTCTGGCGTAGCTTGGCTAGCTGCTCCGGGGCCCACCCTTCGGATTTCCCGAACTGGTACCGCAACTCCTCCTTGAACATCGGCCAAGTGATTAGCGTATGAGCCTCGGCATAGGTCCGCTCCATCCACTCCCACCACTGCAGGGCATCTCCCTCCAGGTAGAAGGAAGCTAACTGCGCCTTTCGTTCTTCCCTAGTGGGATGGTTCTTGAACCATCGCTCAGCTGAGTACAGCCACAATCCTGCATCCTCACGACCATTGTACTTCGGGAACTCAATAGTGGGAGGCCGCGCTCGAAACACCATCTCATCCTCTTCCTCCCCACCCCGGAAATGACCGGCATTCCTTCCCGAACTTGGGCCCCCGCTGTAGTAGTGCTGAGTGAAGCGCGGGTCCCCGTCACACCCCCAGTCGTCGCCCTCATCCTCCTGGTACCCGGCCCTTCCGCTTAACTCACCCTTCAGCCTTCGATCCCCCGTCCATATCCTCCTGGAGTCCTTCCCGGCGCCCCGCTGGAATGCCGAAGAAGGAAAGGGCCCACAATACTCGTCGAACTGGCCTTGCGGCCCTGGGTAGCACCTGCTGCCCGCCTGATTCTGATACCCAGCCGGCTGGACCGGTTCGACCATGGCCCGACCGGATTCGGTCCGACCAGTCTCGGCCCGACCGTTGGGGACCCGGCCCATCCCTGCTCGGCCCAAGTCACCCCGGCCCGATTGATTTCGGCCTGTTGCTCCCGACCGGCCAGGCTCCCACCCGCGGCCCGACTCCCTCCAGCCTCCTCCTGGTCCGCCTTCCCACTGGGCTCGGCCCATTGAGCTGCCCTCCTCTCTCCAGCCATCCGCGCCCAGCCCACTCTGCTTGTTGGGCCAAGGCCCGCGATCTCTCTCCTGCCCCGGGTCCACCAGCTCCTCCAAGTTCAGGCCCGCGTGCGAGCCCGGATCCACGTACTCGGCCATCTTGGCCTTGCCACGCGCACGAGCCATCTCCTGGGCCGATGGAGTAGGCAAAAGCCCATCCTTGATTGTTGGGCCGAACGAGACTTGGCCCGGACGCGAAACAGGGGGTCGGCTAGGGTTACTTGCCGCTGCCCCCCCTTCCGCCAAACCCTTCTCGGCTCCCTGGCCGCCGACCGCCGCCACCGAGGCGGACTCCTCCGCCGCGCCCTTCTCCTCCGGCGGCTTCTCGCCATCTCCAACCGCTGCCCCGCCTCTCTTCCAAGCCTCCGTCAGACTGCTCACCTGTCCCTGCAGCGCCTCCACCGCCGCCAACAACGCTTCGAGAGTGCGGCCGTGATCTCTGACTTGCACCTGCAACCCGTTCAGCTCTTCCTCGACCCTCGCCTGCCTCTCTGCCTGCGTCTCCACGACCTTCCTAGCCCTTCGATCTCCGTGAGATCCTCCAACTCCCCGTCGAGCCCTACGTCACCCGCATCCGTGCCCTTCTCGGCTGCCTGAGCCGCTTTCTCTGCCGCCTTCATTGACTTCGTCGATACCATTGCTGCTTTCCCTGGTTCAAGAGCTCAAAAGAACTCACTCTCGAGCCAGGCTCTGATACCATATGTTAGAAACAAAGTTTCTAACGGTTGTAGAATTAGGGAAATTAGCTAGATCAATTAGGGATTGATCAAGCTAGGGATTAGGAGTAGGAGAATTTAGGAAGAAGAGAGGGGAAGAGGCTGCTGCCGAGCAGCAAAAGGAGAAGAGGGAATAGGGGAGTTCAGCGCAGGAGGGAAGGAAAAGAGAGAGAGAGTAGTTTAGGTTTTCTGTAATTGATTGCTTAATGAGAAAATAACTCCTACTGCAGATTATATAATCCGCATAATTCCTATCTACTACCCAACAAATAAAACATAGTAATCGACTCCCGGTTTAATGCCCAAATTCCCCAAATAATCCCCCAATTAACATAGCCGACAAATAAAGCGAATTAACCAAAAGCTGCAAATTATTTGTTTCTAACAAAAAAGCTACAATGTAAGAGTTAGTTGTCTTCCTTTGAAGCATCGACAGCTTGTAACCCGTATTTGGTGAGGACACTAGTCAGCACAGCCATGTCCCTGACCTTTACCCTGCAGAGAGGAAAATGGTGAAATGGAGTTAAAAAGGTGAGAAAGTAAGCAAGGAGCAAACGTCCAGCAGCAGGGGATAGTGATCAGAAAGCACTGCACAATAACCTTTTGGCCGATCCTGGAATGTCTAACTAAGGAACCTTCTGCACTTTCTTTTTAGTAGTTTGCACTGCTCTTCTTAGTTCTCTTCTTTGATGAAGATGATGACCCGCTTTCACCTTTCTTCCTTTCTATAGTTTGCAACTCTGATACTCGGAAAGATTTCATGCTCTCTATTTGCACTTCCCATTTGTGTTTTAAGATATCATGGTTACTATAATCATCATCGTCATCATGATTGTCTACTGTCTTATTGAATTTATCAGACATTCCATCTTCAAAGGCAGAACCATCCATGTCCATGTCGGCCAATTCGTCATCAGATGCAGTGCTCAAGCTGGAGTTTTGAATCCTGCATTTTAGCAGCTTCTGAATCTTAACAAACACTATGCTTTCTACAGAGAACTGTTGCACAAACCTGCAAATGAACACTCGAAGGATCAAACTAGAAACAACAAACTCGCAATCATTAAACCATTTCGGGATTTGGGTAGTGGTTCAGTTGCTTTGCAAAGAGATTAAGAGAATGTAAGTAAATTCTCGGACTCAAAATCAACATAAGCAAACCCTTTGCCAATAGGGTCCTTTGTCCTCTTGTTCCCAGAAACAACAGGAGCAAATATCAACGATTGTGCTGAATTCCTTGAAAGCTGATCTCAAATCTCTTTGAACTTTCTTTTTCTTTGGGAGATTGGTCAAAAGCACCCGAACTCCACTTGGTACAGTTTCGGCAGCTACAGCATCGCAGAAGGGTGTTAGATTCCTCGCCAGCGGTAAATTAGCAATACCCAATTGGAAAAAAGTGAAATTTACAGACAGCACTGACCTTTGAGCTTCGAATCCTCTATCTTGGGACTTGGCTTGATAGGGTTACGGTTATTCTTCAGGTTATTAACATTGGCAGCTTGAGCCATTTGGCTCTGGAGCATTTCTTCGAGCAGCTTATCTTCAAGAGAAGTGTCGTAGACCTTCCCTTCCCCAATCCACGGGGCTGCTCATGCTCTCCAGCAATTTCTGCATATTCTCAAGCGGCAGTAACATCTCCCCATCCTCTACTTTGTCGCCATAGCCGCCGTCGTCATCCATAAAATCAAATTCCTCTTCGTCTTCTTCCACTACGTCATTGCACCGGTGGTTGTGTGAATGATGGCAACGGAGGGTGGAGAAAGAGTTGTTGCCGCCTGTCAGCGAATCTGGGGGGGAACAAAATGCACCTAGCGTTCAAGTGTATAAATAATGAATTTTGCTTCACATAAGCAAGAGGTTTCGTGGTGTAGTTGGTTATCACGTCAGTCTAACACACTGAAGGTCTCCGGTTCGAACCCGGGCGAAGCCATTGTTAAAATTTTTTTTTTCGACAGGCTGAATTTACAGCATTGGTTCCGGCCCAATAAAGTCGTTAACGTGGGCTGCTGACGACCATAAACCCGGCTCAGAGGTCCTAGCAACTTGCAGCCCTAAAGTCGTTAACGTGGGCTGCTGACGACCATAAACCCGGCTCAGAGGTCCTAGCAACTTGCAGCCCAAAATGGTATTTGAGAGCTTCTGGCTTTTTTATATGGTATTGTGGGCTCTGTTTTACGTAGGGATGGCAACTTTGCCCATACCAATGAGTTTCTTACTATCCAATCCAATTGGATTGGGTATGAAATCCAAATAGATAAAAATCGGTAGAGTTTGATGGGTTTGTACCCATACCCATTTAATTTGGGTTTAGTTGGGTTGGGTATGAAATGGATTTGGGTTTGTACCCATGCCCAAATACAAATTACAGTTTGGTACCCAAACTTAATAGATATGCATATTTAGTACCTAAATTTATTTTTTTTGCATATAAGTCCTCAAAATATCGATGGAAAATTACGTTTGGTACCTAAATTTTATTGGTCTTACATTTTGGTACCTACACTTTTCAAGTTTTGCAAATAGGTCCAATTTTTGCATGTGTAGTTAAAACACCCTCAAGTAAATGGATATCCATATCCAACCCATACCCATTTAGATTATGGAAGCCCCAAACCCAAACCCATCTATAAACCCTCAAATCCATATGCACTTAACCCATACCCAACTCATTATCAATGGGTCTACTTGGGTTTGGGTATAATTACGCATGGGTGGGTAATTTGCCATCCCTAGTTTTGCGTTACAACTTACAATTACAAATCAAAATAGTCCCTAAAATTAAAATGTGATGAATGTTATTAAAAATAATTAATTGAATTCAAGATTTTTTTTACAACAATTGAATTCAAGATTTAAACTGTGATGAAAGTTATTAAAAAAATTTGATTGAATTCAAGATTTATTAATTATGTTGCTTGAGTCTCTCCACCTATTTATATATATATATGGTGGCTTCTATGGTACCCCGGGTGAAATCCGGGGTACCGCATACCTCGAGTATGGAAACTCTATCTAGACCTCGAATTACCAGGATTTTTGTGTCTGATATTATACCCTAACCCTTATTGAGTGAACCCTAGGTCATAATTATCTAAAGCATAATCTATAAACCCTAAGATGGTGCATCCAAATTTTGTGCCTATATTTGGATGAATCATAACCGTCGATTATCATTTCTAATTAAATTGATCTTGGAGTATAATATTGGGAGAGTTAACACCTAGATTTTGATCTTTAAGTGTTAGAGTATAGTATCATGTCCGAAAAATCGGTCAATTCAAGGTCTAGATAGTGTTTTCATACTCAAGGTATGCGGTACCCCGGATTTCACCCAGGGTACCGTAGAACTCGCCATATATATATATATATATATAATACTAAATACGTTTAAAACACTCTCTTACAATAGTAAAAACATCTTATTTTTCTTGTTTGTTTCATGCTTCAAGTATTAAATATGTATAAAATACATATAACTTGTTTAATACACATAGTTTTATATATTTTTATGTTTAAATGAATAGAACTTAGCAGGTATTAATATCATAACATACCCATACAATATTTTACTCATTATATTCGCTTGCTATCATTGTCCCTCGTTTTGCTCCCTCTTTCTTTCTGTAAGAGACTGGTATAAAATCAATAATTAACATTCTCACCATAACACGAGTTATTCAGATCAAATAGATTCTTGAGATGGTATAAAAAATGGTTTAGCCAAGTGGTTGTTTGTTAGAATCTCCACAACCCCAAATATACCAGTTGATTCAAGCATAAAGGTATGATGAGCCTCTGCAAACTTAAAACTCGTGAGTTAATTTTCATTTGAGTGGGCGTGTAAATAGATTGATATAAAATTCGTAATTAACAACCTCCTTATCTAGAATTCTACTCCAAACCCCAGTCCCCTCTAGCCTCACTAGTTTTTCCCCCTTGCTCCCTTGTCTTTGTCGCTAGCCATGTTCCCTCGACCTCCTTCGACCATGCTACTCAGAGTCGATCTCCTGTAGTACTCCCAATCTCTCATAATCATCATTCACTTCCCCTCAAATCTCAATGCAAGTTACTTCTCTTCTCAATTTATAGTTTCATAATATTTTTCCCGCGCCTTTCAATCAACTATGCATTCATAAATATTCTAAAGCTTCGGTAAATTGACGTGACGACGTCTACAACACAAATGCGGAAATACATAACACAAACATATCTATCTAGTACCAAATGTCATATTTTACTATAATACTTTTACGAAAAGATAACAACATTATTAATTGTGAAGGCAATTCCCTAATATATAACCAACCAATTGCAGGTATAAATCAAGGGCTATTTTGGCACGCGGATTATGGAGCGTAAACCTATTTTATATTGGTCCATGTTGTTGCTCATTGTTTGTATTAATTAGTATATATATGTTTGTATATAAAGTAAAAGTATAGAGATGGAAGTTGTCCTCTATTGTTGTTATGGCTTGTCGTATGCACTGTCCATTAAGACCAATCCGTGCTTTCTCTTTCCGTTGTGGGTTCGTGGGGTTGGATTTTTTTTTTTTAATTACGGTTTATCATCATCAATCAAACGCTTTTTAATTAGTTTCCCTAAACTTAATTTAATGGCCACATCTTTTGTTTTTAGTTCACAAAACCTTTATTTCTGCGACGAGATGGATTAAAAGGAATTAAAAGATGGGACCCTTGTAGTTTTATGTTTGGTACATGTAAGTCCAAATCTTCAATAGGGCCGCAGCCTGCAATTGCTGGCCGTATGGCAAAACGACACATCCCCACTCAGGGAAAAAGAGGCCACTCAGTCACCCGCTGGCTGCATTACATTTTGGTTATCTTACGCTTAAAAATAAAATAAAATAAAAAACTCACCGAGTGGATTCCGACACGAGTTGCTGCTGGGAGCCACGATGCAGATCCATGGGTCGAGCACAGCCCATGAGGACGAAAAGAACAACTAATACAATTAAATTATCAAGTGAAAGAGCTCATTTTGTGGCCAATCATTTTAACGCTTCCTACGAGTATCCTTAACCAGAAGTTAATCAGCGTTATCGGTAAATAACTAAATATACACAAGAAAACCAAGTGCAATGAAGAAACGTGTATTCTCATGGGATTCTACTTTGCAAATACACTTGATGCATGCAGGCTTTGAGTTTTTTTTCATGATCTAATTAAAGTTATTGTAAGTAATAAGCAGCTCATCATCGTGTTTCCATCATCAATTTTTCGTTAGATTGTCATGAAAGTGGGTCTAAACTTGCTAACTGAATTTTGACTTATCTCCCAATCTTTTTAAAGTCAACTTAAAATGATCATGCTACTCTTCACTTAATTCATGATTTACACATTAAAAATAACCACTATAGAAGAATGGATTCGTGACAGGTTTAATTATTCTCATTGTCGACCACTAAACTTTCCTAAGCCATTTTTACAAGTTGGGTAACCAAATTTGGAGATATATAAGGAAAATAAACATTTATATTGAAGAATAGACAATGCCTATTGGTTATTCATTAAGTTTTTAATCTATAGATTATCAAATTTGTGCTGGTTACTAGGTTGTTTATCATCAAAGGAAAAAAATCACATAAAATATTCTTGAGATGTAAATTTTAATGTGTGTAATGTACAGTGTTTCCAATCATTTTACTATTAAAGATTGGCTTCCAATGGAAAAAAGTGGAACAACCTATTGTGAAGAAAAAAACGTTAAGGAAGAACAAGGCATTGTAATTGGTGGAGATGATGGTACTTTAAGTAAGGACTTCCGTCAATAAACCGAGTTAACATGCTGAAAATTATATGAGGATGAAATTTTCAGTAACTAATCAATCTGAAATGTTTATGCTATGAAATCAATAGGGGTGTTCAAACGATGTGGTTACCATGGTAACCGTACTATTTGGATAATTGGTTTGATTTTGTTAAAGTTTTTAACTTGTTTGGTTTAAGTGGTTTGGTTTGGTTTTAGACACTCCTAACCAGTCAAACCAAATTAACCAGATAAATAATTAGCCATATATCTATTATATACACATAGTTAATACTTTGAATAACTATTCAAGAGTTAAACGTTCATCCCTTTTAGACTCATAAAATACAAAACTTGATATTGTTCCTATAATGTATATTTGTATATGTAGAGTGTAGACCACAAGTCACAACATATGAACGCCTAATTTAGATAAATTTCATACATTATGTTGGATGAAAACTTGAAAGCAGGGTCCTTTTCTGCCTATGAAAATTGCTAAAAGACTAAGTCAATTCAAACAAACACAACAATTCATTAACCCATACCATTGTGATAAATTTTTGCTAGGGGAATACTTCTATACTAATCGTAGGATAATTGTCTTAGTTGCATGTATTTATGTTAAAGGTCAACTATAACCAAGTGTTGATTGTTATATTTTATTCATTATATAAATTGTGAATTGATAAATTAACCGAAATTTTTATCACTTAATCATAATGTGATTTTATATTGGTTAATCTGGTTAACCAATTAACCAAATCGATTAAACTTTAGTTTGGTTAATTTGGTTGTTGTATTAGTTTGGACGGTTTGGTTATGATATTGTATTACATGGTTAATGAAATTTAGCCTTATTTGATTTGGTAATAACCATGGTAACCATTTGAACACCCCTAGAAATAAAACATGCCTTACTTCAAACAATTATTACGGTTATTTCTACCATTACCAAAATTCATCCGGCTAACGGGCGGACCCTAATCTAGTTACTAATTAGTGGGGACAGAGCAGCTGGGTAGATTGATGAGAAGCTATCAAGCGTATAAATGGATCTAATGAAAATGAGGCCGGTCCAACTAGGAAACTGTCCGAAGTCAGTTAGTTCGTAAACACACTGGCAAACACAAGCGAACGACTTCATTGTGGTTGAATATTTTGTGCTGTTCTGTTCATCACATCAGTAACTGTCTCTGGTTGTGGTCCATCTCCAAGCACCAGAGAGAGAGAGAGGGAGGGAGCGGGAAAAAACAATCCATTATTAATACTCCACGTAATACTGAACTAAAAAACAAGAGCACAATACAGAATTACAGATCGACAATATAATCGAGGAAAGAAGAAGAAGGTTAATTGCTGGCAAAAATTTAATTGCACTCATTCCTAAATCAGAGAATATTTTATGATACAGCGAAATGGGGCTTAAAATGAATGTACATAAAATCTAGAAGATTGTGGTAGCTCGTAATTAGAGATAGCAAATGAATTGAATTTATGGTCTGATGGATTGGATTGATGAATCTACTCGGATCAAATGGATTGATGAATTCTTGTATTGGATAGTGGATACATATAGATGCACTACAATATCTATAAAATAGTAGTTTTTTTTTTTTTTTGTAATATGTTGGGTTTTTTGGGATGTGTTTGATTCACGATATCAGCAACCACCGACTGCTCACATTCATTTGCGAGCTTTAAAGGGAGACTACTCTGCACTGCTGCAACAGAGGGAATAAAGAAAAGTGAAAAAAAGGTAGTGTGGGGAGAGAGGATTTTGTTTATTCAGATTCAGCTGAGCCGAGCAGTATTATTATGGGTCATAACTCATAACTCAGAAACTGGGGTATGGCACTGCATGAAGCTGCAGGAGAGGAGAGGAGTTAATATACATTGACCAAAAAACAAAGGCAGAGAGAGAGAGGATTTGGGGAAAATTCATGGTTGTCATGCCGCCATGCCGGTGGCATGCCACCCGGTTGAATCTGGTTCAACCTGTGTCAGTCATGAAACCGGCATGACACCACCGGTATAATCCGGTTTGATCGACTTAACCATTCTAAGTAAAATGACATCATTTTAATGAATTAATGAATAAAAAAAATTAATTTATTATTCATTTTATGAATATAATAGTTAAAAGTTGATGATATTTATTGGATTGTAACTAAATTGTCCACAAATATGTTTTATATATGATTGGATACATTGGATATTAATTGTTTTCGCATTTTTTTAAACCGGCACAAACTGGTTATACCACCAGTCGTACCATTCCACTTGCCAAACCGACACAACGATATAAACCGGTTTGACAACCTTGGGAAAATTGGATAGGTACGTATTTTGGTTGGGAGGCCCTTTTCAAAAGCAATTAGTTAAAACTTAAAAAGGACCATTCTTCTTTTTTCTTCGATCTCAAGATGCTCTGTTTTCCTTCCTTTCCTCCCCCCATCTTATATTTTTCAGTACTGTGTATACCAGCAAAGCAATGCAATAATGTAATGTCGTGTGTCGGGGATCCAGGGCTATATGACAATCTCATTTAACTGCCCCCCATCTCTCCTCCTGCCTTTTTTTTTCTTTCTTTCTTCTTTCCTCAGCACATAGGTGGAATATATATTTTGTCCCTCTGAATCCTACTCTTAACCTAAGCTGCTCCCCATAGAACTATATCCAGGAAAACTTTGTTAGAATGCAAACTTATCTACAGAATATTTGGCCCTATTGAGCATGGTAGTTGTCATCCTTGACAATTATTGACTTTTAAATAGTCCCACTCAAACGATAACATTATTCATCGAATAGGTAATGGCGCATATGAAACTAAAGTGTGATGGTCTGTCGCTACTTTTGAAAGTTCAAAAGTCATACCACAATAGATCAATAGTTTTCAAACTGTGTTGTATAACCATGATTGGTAATTGACAGAAATGGTGACTTAAAACTTGAGCTTATGACAAACCAGTCATTCTCCTCGATCCATTTTCCCGAACCTCACTCCTACACTAAGTTAGGTTCAAACATAATACAATGATAAACCAATCTCCTTCCATTAGTGGAAATTTGCCCACCTCCCATGATTATATAGTCGGGGAAAAAATGAAAGAACTTTATAATCAAAGGTTAATATCTTTAATATTGGTTTCAGAGTAGATTTGATACTTTTGGGTCATTCAATTTGAGCAACAATAACACGGTGTGGTTACTAAAACAATAATACAGAAGATCAAAATGAAGAGATGGGCTGACGACTAACGATTCGAAGTATACAACACGAATAAATTGTTACGAAATGGTATTAGATTGATCGATGATAATATAACGATTCAACCGACGAACCGGTGGTTACATAAGAGGCAGGGGTGTCCACCAACTACAACAAACTAAAAGAGAGAGAGAGAACAGTAAAAAAATTAAAGGAGCTAGAGGGATCGCAAATGGAGAGGAGCGGGGGGAGGAGCGTTGCTATTGCTATTGCTATTGCTATTGCATTCACGATGGAGGAGAAAGCAGAGAGGCCATCATTATTGGAAAGCAGCGGGGCCAAATTGAGGGCCGAGACAGAGTCGCTTCACCAGGGCGCGCCAAAGGCAAAGGTCGGCAGATATGGCCGCCAGTGGGCGCTCCCTCTCAGCCTAGCTTAGCTTCTTCACTAAAATCCACACTTTTCCTCTCCTCTCCCTACCCTAATGACTGGCTCACAAAAAGCTGATTGTGGCGCGCGCAGTAATAAAAACAAATCGCAAAGCTACAAAAAAAAAAAAAAAGGTTGCAATCCAAATCCTCCTTTCCTCCCCTCACATGCCCTGACCCATTCGCCAGAGAGAATGAAGTGATGAACTGATATGATACAATTTACATACACATACACTATTTATATATTTTATTATTATTTATTTATTGTCGATCAAAATCTGATGGGATACGATTACAAAGGAAAGTAAACAAACCACGCCATGGATGAATGAACACAAAAGGCCCCAAAGACCCTTTCATTTCTTCTTCTTGTATTTGTTTTTTTTTTATCAGGGGTTTGTTTCAATGAGGGCCCCCCTCCCTCTCCTTTCTTTTGGAAGAGAGATCCTTAATCTCCTCCATCTTCCAAACCAAATTAAAAAAATAAAAAAAATACAAAATTTAAACAGAAAAAATAAAAAGATTCTACATACACACGCACACGTATACTAACTCCATTCACCACCGCCGACGCCCGTGGCCGTGGGAAGGTAAAAACTAAAAAGGACCGGAAGGAGTCTTCTTTCTCTAGTATGTTTTATGAGTAACAAAAAAAAAAGGGGTTCCAAAAAAGTTTCCCGCCAAAAAAGCACACATACACACGTGTGATGACGAGCCCAGGATGTTGTTGCACCACCGCCATGGAAAAAGCGCACACACACACAGTCTTGGGCCTCCCATCACAAATCCACTCTTCTCGAAACGTTTCCTTATCAACAGGGCATTGATCGATGAAGCCACCATGCAACTATTTGTTTGTTGCTTGCAGCAGCACAGTCGCAGCAGTAATGTAGACTTCCATTCCATTAGTCTCTCCATACCATAGACTTGCTCGCTTGCACTGCACACATCAAATCCGATTTCTGCCGAACCCATTTTGAAAGTTCCGCCTTAATAAATGACCAAAAGGGTCCCTCCATTGACGCTGCCAGCCAGCCAGCCCGCCCTTGTTTTTCAATAGTCGATTGATGCTGCCATTGAACTACAACCCACTTCTTTGACAGCTTTCTTTCTCTCTTTTTTCTTCCTTTCCTTCACTGACTTTCTCACACAAGAATAAGAATACCGAAAAAAATTGCCTCTCCTTCTCTCCCCACCAATGGGAAATCTGCAATGCCATCAATATTAATCAAAGTGGCAAGGCAGCCAGGCAGGCAAGGCTTATCTACTCTCTAGCTAGCTCCGTTGCTGCTCTCCAATTCAAAAGCTAGCAACCTCTCTCTCTCTCAAAAAAAAAAAAAAAAAATCAATAAATCTGCCAAACTCTCACCAAACCCATAACCATATATATACATTATTATATTAATATATATAGTTTATGTATAATTTATGACGACTCGCTGGAGTCAATGCTTGCTGGCTCAGCTTCACTCTCGAAACCCATCTTCCAACCAAAATATTTCCGAGGATTCTAAAATGCCAATAATTTTTGGATGTATATATAGAGACTTTTTTTTTCTCCCCCTCTCTCTGCCCCACACCACCACCTTCTCCCCGCCTCTTTTCTCTCGTTTTTTCCTTTGTTTTTGATTCCCTTCTTCCCATCACTCGGAGCTTCCTTTGTCACCATCTTCCCACAATAAGTTACTCAATTTTTGCCTTTTAATAGACGGAGATAATGACGATGATGAACAAGAAGAAGACGAAGATGATGACTCGGTAGCAGTATCAGTATTAGAAGTATTACTAGACCTCTTTCTGCCACCGAGTACCGTTACCCGTAGCTGCGGCGGCGGCGGCGTCGACAGTACCGCCGCCGCTTTTGATGACCGCCGGCTGCTGCCAGCTTCCTGCTCCAGCTCTTGCATTAGCCGGTAGCAGCTCAAGATTTTCTCCTGCAAAAGTTCATCATCGTCATCCATCAGGACCACATACCCCATATCCCGTGAAGAAGATTGCTTACCAACCACCGGGAAATTTTTTATCATCATTATCACAGCACACAAAATATAATAAATACGCTTCCAAGTTCGTACAAATAATATTCATAATTGGCACAACGAAGAATCTACAAGAACAATGATGATTTAAAATCATCATAATGCATGGCAACGAATTTAGTATAGCACAATTAAGACATTTATTGATCCAACTGGGGAATCATTAAATATTTTTTTTGGTCATGTTTCCTACTTACTTTGCTTAGCCCATCACACCAAGACTCGGCGTGTTCGGGATTGGCGAGAGACAAGCTTGGGATCTCGTCGGCGGCACATAGTACTGCCGCGGCGGCGATGCTCGACGGCCGATACTCCACGAAGCTAGCCTCTGTTATTTTTTTTTACGTACACCACATTAGTATAATACACGAATGGGATACGTATATATGGATAAATACGGTATAGTGTATTTAATTTGTTTCCCCGCTACCTTGGATATTCGACAAGATGATATCCGTAGCTCTTGAAACGAGGAAGCCGGAGTAACTCCCGGTGGGGTCCAGCTTCCATGCAAAGAACCCAATGAAACTAAACGGAGTTACGGACCGCAGCCTCCAATCCAGCTCCGTCAGGACCAGAAGCTCCATCCGTCCGATCGTTCTTGGTTCGAATACGAACTTGGCGCCTTCCACCTGTAGATCCAGCAGCGCCGGAACCATCGGCTCCTCCATCTTCGCCGCCAGCGACAAGCATGCCGCCGATAGCAGCTGTAACGGCCATCCATCCGTTTGCTGCATCAAGCAAAAAAACACCAAAACATATATTAATTAATAAAATAATAATCATCCCCGGAAGGCGGAAAACACGGAATAGTCGTTTAATGCACGACGTCGTTTCGCACAAGGTTTGAAAAGTCAAACTTAGTTACCGTTCCTAGTCAAATACGGGAACATGGATTTCCTTGAGACCTGCGCGGTTTTCCGTTTCCCGAGGAGAAAAAATATTATTTATCAAGTTATGATTATCTTTTTGTCTTCTCCACCTTTTTTTTTTGTTTTGTTTTATAATAAAGAGATAAATAAACGGCCGTAACGGGCGACTCTTCTTACCGGCAAGCGGCGGGAATAAAGGAACCGATCGAGGTAGTTGACGGCGAGATACGCCGTCAGGGGAGCGAAGTTGTAATACGCCCGGACCTGCGCGGGCAATAATTATGGATCGACCACATACGGTTCACATGAGTTTCCACAAAGTGACAAGAAAGGGATCCAATTTAAACGGCAGCCAGTCACCAGTGGCGTTAAAGGTAATTATTTTTTTCTGTGGGTTTTTTAGAGTTTGTACCTTGAGAATCCATGCAACAGCTTCCTCACGAGCGGAGGCATCGAGAGACTGGGAGTGGAAGCGGGCCAAGTAGCCGAATCCGGGCACGAACCGGTCCTCGCCCTCGATGAAACAGGCGATGGATTCCTCCGAGCAGGATGACGACTCGATGTCCGACGAGCAATCCGCCGGCGACTCGCCGGAGAAGATCTCCGATGAGTCCTCCTCGCACAGGAGGTCCGAGAAGCAATCGGAATACGACGTCAGCGCCGACATGATGACTTGGGGTGCGGTTGTGGGTGACGACGGTTGATCATCCTCTGCTTGCCATTTTTATTAACGGTTTTGTGCTCGCCGGACTGAAGAGGCCTGCTAGGGAAACTGAAAGAAGGGGAAGGGGAAGAGGAAGGGGAAGAGTGAGTGTGTGTGTGTGTGGATTGATTGTGGTAGAATGTGGATCAATCTGTTGGGTTCGATATAAATATATATGAGGTAACGAGGGGATGCAATTTTTTATTCAATCTTTTCTGGGTTTTTTTTTATATAAATTAATTTGCATTTCCCGCTTTTTGATATTTTTGGAGGTAAAATTTTAGGTAGGGACTTGGGAGGAGACTTGAGATGTGTTTTTGCCGGGAAACTGTAACTGTTTTTACATTTGAGAGATTTTTATATACACACATAGTTACATACATCTCCGGTGGATTGATTAATTGAGTTTGGACCGTAATTATGAATTAGAAATGATTATACACTAATTTGTTTCTATCATTGAGAAGGGGTATGTTCGGATTAACGAATGTGGTCTGTGCATCAACAATTTCGGCCAATTACAATTGGATACATTGTTTATATCCGTTTCTATAATATAATCCCAAATTGCTTAATTATTCTAGATATAAATATATATGTGTATGATCCTACACATGATTCTAGATGAACACAAAAAAGCATCGGTAACAAAAGAAGGTGAACAAAATATGTCTTACTTCGATTTTATGTTGAGTGATATCGTAAGACTTATCGATGTTTCATGCGGGATCTTTTAGGTCGATCTCGAAGTGAGAACCGAATCAATAGAATTTGGCTATAGAATTCCTTGTCAAAGAAAAATAAAATCGGATGGGTTGGTGTCTAGGTCGACTAACCAGCAAGGTATGACAAAATCTAGGTTTGATAGCTCGAGATCGTCCTCCGGCGATCCAGTCAATGGAGGAAATCCAACAAAGGGATGACACAGAATGAATGTAAAGTGCAGAAAAATATGCATGAGAGCCCATAACGAGGGCGAGAGGCCTGATGTTTGTAGGAAGGTGGGAAGCCTTAGGATTTTCCGTGTGCTTGATCTTCTAGATCTAAGCCATACGATCAATCCAAGAATGACCAGACCGTCCAAGTGTCTCTTGTGATTTCCACATCCCTGACAAATACTGCATAAACAATTGTTCTTTTTGTTTGCAGAGAGTACTCTCACAGGGAGGGGAGTACTCTCACCGTGATTGAAAATGGACTATAAGAAAATCAAGAAGCATCCATCATATTCCATTCATGGAACTCTTGAAGCTCCTCCTCCACCCTTTTTATTCTCTACCATTAAAAATGATTCAAGAACTTATGATTCTTAAATCATATTAAATATATTGTTTCACATTATTGTTGACACGCTTACTCAACTGTTTGCTCTTCGTTAGCGCACCAAAATGAAACTTAACCCATACAGAGTGCCACTTTTGCCTCAAATTATAGATTCCTTCTAGCCATTCAGGTCCCACGAGACTCTCACCGGAAAATATTTCTCAATCATTTCCCCCAATTATACCTAAAATCACTATCATTCTCAACATTGAACGTAAAATAACTAAGATCTATAAGAATTTCAAAATCATAGCATGAACCAATCCTAGACATTGCTTTTTGTGTGATGAGAGGAATGTGGACTAACCTTCAAAACATAATAGAAAACAATCCATATACCAAGAGCTACTGTAAGAGCTTGGTCAATGTAGATGGACTGTGGTTCTTCTTTCCAATGCATTTGAGAACGACACCTATATCCTTCGACACCCTAAAGTCGAGGATTAAGATTGTAACTCTGAGCAAGAATGGTATTTGGGGTCTTCAAGGTTTTTCCTTTCCACCCACAAATACATTAGATGTGGAGGGCACGGTGTTTCGTCTTCGGGTTCCTACCAACCAACGTGCAACTAGACAATAAATGGAAGTGGATGGCAAGGAAAGCCAAGAAGAAAGCATGCAAGAAGAGGAGGTGGCACATCAACCAATCTATCTCCCGACAAACTAAACTATCAAGCAAGCTAGAGACTATTATACCGAGGGAATGGTAGAGGCCATCCTCCAGAAACAAATATGGGAGGAGGAATCAAGGGAACACCTAATGGCGTGCATACATGAAATCATGGATAAAATGGGTATCTCTTTGGCGGATATCCTCCCACCATTTGTCCACTCGCCTTCCTCCGAACATCATCAAGAAAGAGGAGGAAGAATCCTTCAAGGAGGAATCAGGTTTAGGCATCCAAGACCTACTTTTTTATCTTTCATTTCTTTACTTTTTTCTTCTGACTTTGAACAATGTCTATTATTATATCTTAATTTCCGTACTTCGTATTTCTTAGTAGTAGTAACTTAAATACTTATTATCTATGTTTATCTTGTGCCCTATAACCTTCTTCTTTTTACTTTTATTCTACTTATAGGCTTCATCATTGTATAGAAACCAGGAACACAAAGACCTACACTTGTGAACCAACATCAACCCAACGAAACACCCTATGGTAATGATTCCCGAACCTACATTTGAATTCCACATTGAGGATAATGTGTCTCTCAAGTGTGGGGGATTTGTATGCTTGATTGAATGATTCGTGAATGATTTTTGTCATAAGTTGGTAGTAGGCTCCCTAAGTGATGCATGTAAGACGTTGATGATCGTTTGTGGGAATGGTTGCTATCAATTAGTTGTGTTTTTGTAGTGTTGAATGACATATATTTGGTGTTCGAAAACTTGATGGCATAACCAAAATTTTCCAAATTTGAGGGGTCCAAACACCTTGTCCCTAGCATCTATCCTCTTAATGTGCTTTGAATTGCTAGATAGTCACTATGGCGTGTTGTATAAGGAGTAGTAAGCATTTACCATGATTGTCGGTTTATGAGGGATTTTACTCTTATCTTCCTTTTTTGTGAGTCGATAAAGTTTGCTACTTAGGTAAAAGACATGTGTGTGAGACTTTCTATCTTTTTGGAATAAAAAATGTTTGCAAATTGTGCTCATTTTGAAAAAAATTAAAAAGGTTTCTTGAAAAATTACGGTTCTCATATGATAGGCAACCGAGAATAGTGTTTGAGTTGATCCATCAAGGGCTCTTCTCTCGGTTTGGAGTGCCGATTGAGAATGTGTTTGTGGTTCATCTGTTACTACTTTACCGCATCCCGATCATCTGTTACTACTTTCCATCACCCAAACACATCTCCTACTCATGGATTCGTTTGAACCCGGCATGTGTGGCACACCCATCTGTCGTTGAGACGAGGTATGCAGGCAGGGAAGTGGTGCTTGGACAATGAATCTAACCATCATGTTCCCCACATGATGCCAAGTCTAGGAAGGCAATGTTTCTTCCATGCTTGGTTATGAGGGAGAGATTCCAATTTGCAAGGAAAATTGCTAATGTTTCATGCCAATGCAGTAAAATTGGAAAAAGAGGAGAATCAAGGTAAAATTAATTTCTATCTTAAAAGAAAGAATAAATAGCATCTATAGAGTCCAATGTTTTCATTGTTTTTGAAAGTCCCCCGGTGCACACTTTGTATGTCAAAACCTACTTAGTTAACATGGTCCTCATCTGGGAGTTTGTGTTTACAAAGTAGAATAGGAGTAGCATTCACACAACCCCAACTATTTAACTAGTGCAACGAATAACTATAGATCACTCCACATTGATTGGTTATCAAGTTGTACTAGTTTGAGTATGATTTCTTGGGGACAAGATAACACCTAAGTGTGGGGCAGTTGATAACACTCAAATTAGTGTTATTTAGAACCCATATTTAGACTTGTTTCAAGTCATTTTGTGTTCTTCATGGTTAACATATTGCCAATTATACCCCTTATTCGTTCATTTGAGAAAATGTTAGTATATTAGGGTATATTTGATGGTATGAATGTTTTTAGGTACAAAAATGTGCACAAGCGTAGAGAAATAGTAGAAATCCAGAGATCACAATTGCAAGATGAAAGATCACGGTCAGGAACTTAGGGCATGAAGCCGAGGACCGTGAATGCAACCCACATGCAAAAGATCACATCCACGAAGATGGAGGTCCCAGACGTGAACATTTGGAGCAGCCAACATGGAAGGAGTCGAAAGTCTTGATTAGGGATGGCAATGGGTCGGGTCGGAGATGGATAGTGCATATCCGTTACCCTATCCAAAGTAGTCGGGTTTTACCCAAACCCATACCCATATAAGAAACAGGTAGAAAATCCAAATAATAATGGGTTTCGGGTATTCACGGTTATCCATGGGTAATAGTTTCTCTTTATAACTATAACCAATATGTTAATATTCACACGTATTCTCACGTTATGTAAGACGAAAAGTACGACAATAATTCACTATAATGAAGAAAATTAATTAAAACAACACAATTTCATAAAAATATTATATTTATATGCTAAATATAAAATATGTTAGAGAAAAATATTGATTATATCTAGACAAAATACATATGCATGTGTATAATCGGGCGGGTTCGGGTTGGATAGTGAGAAAACTATGGCCACCCATTACCTGTAATATTTGGGTTCGGGTTTTACCCGTACCCACTAAAAGTCCTTCGGTTTCAGGTTTTACCCTACCCAATTAGATCGGATTCGGGCGGATATCCACGGTTATCGATATTTTTGCCATCCCTAGTCTTGATAGTCGGCTCGCAGCCTTCTTCATCAGAGCCCACGAGAATGATCGTCGCCGCGAGTTACGGATTACGACTGTGAACTCGGGCCGTGAACTACCCAACTTCATAACACATAACGGCAGACTCAAGATCGCGATCTTCCTTCCCAAGATCGAGGCCGCAAACTTGGCCTCGTTGACCATGAACTTGCCCGAATCCTAAAAATCTATAAATAGGGGGTTCCTCCCTTTGTCCCTCATACTTGGAGAGATGAAATTGATTGAAGATTTCTGGTTTGAAGAAACAGAAAGTTAGAGAGAGAAGCCGAAGGAAGGAGAGGAAGAGAAAGATGAGGAGAAGAAGGAAGGGATCTCTTTCACCTAAAGACTTCTTCTATTTTCTTCCACGTGTCTACTCCCCCCCCCCCCTCCTTTATGGGGTAGTTCTCTAAGGTACTAGAGGTTAATTATGTTAGGGTTTGTGAATGGATATGTTTATTTTAGTGAAGTTATGCTTTATTGATTCTTAATTATGCTTGGGTAAGTCGCCAAACTCTTCCCTACTAGCCTACAACCGAGTTAACACTATGTGGGAGTTTTAGGGTTAGACTCAGTAGTGCTAATTGGCAGATTAAGACTAGATGAATGTTCTTAGGGTTCCTTAGTAGATGTGGGGACCGATCTCTTGCTATATGAATGCCTTCCTAGAACAATTCTAGAGAATTCGCACGTCTTCTGACCAAAGCATGGCTCTAGTATGGATGATAGGTTGAACCTATTGAGAGGAACAATGAGAGTAACCCTAGCACGTAAACTTAGACTGAGGTGACATTTGGTCTTTGTGGGACGTGATACGGTGTTAGGAGGAGGGAGAGTAGTTATTGAAATCCCCACATAAGAGACTTATGCATCCTATCCCGACATAGTTAGCAATTTGGATAATGAACCTAGTATAGGGCAAGGGTGGTAGCCCAAAGTACCTTGCTTTTGAATCATGGTGATAAGGGCGGGCTTGATCTAAAAAATATTGGCGGCCACAGGTGGATGTCGAATGGCGGGTTGGATATCCGTCGGCCTTGGAGCCATGTAATAGCCCATGGTCCTTGGTTGCTCCTCCGCGGCCGCTTCTTCTTGAGCGGGTTGATTAGCCGCCATCTCAGCTTCACTTCCTTCCTCTTCGAACTCAACCCCTTCCTCAACTACAACTTCCTCTTTTATCCTCCTTCTTGCCTCCGCTAGTTCCCTTTCACGAGCCAAGTGTCGGAGAGTGCGTTTGAGATCCTCGTCTAGTGGCGCCAAAGGTGTCGAATTACTCTGGGTCATACACCTTCCTGCACACACTCAAAAGAACCACAACACTTCTAGCATAAACAAGATTTTCACATACAAAAACAAAATTAAAAGCTAGATTAACACCAAACAATCTTTCCAAAATAATGAACCGTTGGATCCCCGGCAATGGCGCCAAAAACTTGACTCGTCCCGAATACCACAATAGAACTTCCAATTAACGCCCAAGTATAAACCTTAACTAGGTGCAGTACAGGGAAAATATGTTTAAATATCGACTCGGGCCGATTCATGTACCCCCTACTTCGATTGCTTGAAACATTATCTAGCGGTTGATTTTTGGCGAAAACAACAATCTATAGCTAAAGCGTTTGCAAAGGTAAATGGATTTGACACTAATTGAGAAGGTTTCACCCGGGTTTTGCTCCCCCTAGCTAACAAGTACGACTTGTTGGATCGGATGGTCGTGTGTGGTGAGTGGGTTGTAAACCGTAGGGAAGTGTAACAAGTAGCCAAGCGCCATTCTCTTGGTCTCTAGGTAGAGGGAAGGGGATATGATCCAAGCCACCAACGTGACTCTCTCGACCTATTGACTAAGGGTTGGTTAGACTTCACCCTCGAATCGGAGTTTGGACAGCCACCCACAAGAAAAGCCTAGGTGCTAATACAAAATAAGAGGTTTGCCCTGCATTAACCTAGATAGGAGACAATGAATTGCCTAAGGAAACCCAGCATTCAAGCCTCTTTCAAAGAAAGTAAGGGGGTTTTCTCTCTACTTACGTTAGAATGGCAATTAGATTGATAAGATTTCACACAACACAGTCATTCATGAATAATACCTCCACATTCACATTAAACACAACCACACACAAATCAATCAATCCCCTTGTTATAAGAACCGAACTGGATCAACGGCTGGGCTAGTAGAACCGCTAAACCAGTTATGATAGCGGTCCGGTTCATTGTTTGAACGGTTATTGATGGACCAAATGGTTTTTCACTTTTCAACATAAAACCATAATTATTAATTTTATATTTGCTTTCTCTTATTATTTTCCAACCTTGTTTCCGACTTTACGTGGTCCACTATCGACTAGCACCGTAATTTTTAATTTGAATTAAAAAATTATGATTTCTTTTGTGAGACGGTTTGAATGATTTATCAGATATTTTGGACTTTTGGTGATGATATGAATTTGAAATTTTTTATGAGCAATAATAACTTCATTCTTAAATTAGTGTAATATACAAGTCTTGTATGTTACATATCATGAACGGTTCTGTCAACGGTTTTGTAACGGTTAACCACTAAACCCTGAACCACTAATTTTTCCAATTCAGCTTCCGGTCCGGTTCTGAAAACATCAATCCATACAAGCATTCACATAATTGTAGCTAGGATTTACAAACACCAAAGTGAAAGAAGGGACTACTCCATGATAGGAGAAGGGAAAACACAAAAGAGAATAAGGGAAACAATCAATGAGATGCTAGCCTTGCTCCTTGTGTTAAAGGGATCCTCCTTTGGGAGAGGAATTCCCAATTCCTGGCTTGAAGATGAAACCCTAGCTTCTCCTCTTCTTTGGTTCGTCACTTTGTCACTCTAGAAATCTTAAGAAGTTTCTCTCCTCTTTTCCTTCAGCTCAACCTCCTTTATATACCCAGATCAGGATCAGATTAAGGTCTTAGTTCACGGCCGTGAACTGAAAGCCCAGACCGTGATCTCAAGTTGAAACGCGTCGCATCACTAATTCCAGTTCATGGGAAATGGCCTGAGTTCACGGTCTTACGATCGTGAACTAACTTGTGTCCAATGAAAGCAATTTGTGTTCTGGATGCCTGAGTATTCACGGATAGCGCCTCAAGTTCACGGTCTTAGTGACCGTGAACTCACAGCCCAAACCGTGATCTGCTGCTGCTTCCACCATTTGACTTGATTTTTTGTCCTTTCATCCAACTTTCGGCCCCGGGGTTGGTTCTACCTGCCAAAGTTTGAAAAACACCAAAACAAGGCAAAACCCGGCGTAAAACCAAACCTCTTGGAGTAAAAATGCTTCAAACAACTAAGCAAACCAGGGGTAAAAAGTGTAGAAATGATCATTGAGGCACCAAATCCATAACCACAACTACCTTTGGAGCAACCTACTGGAGATCAACTAATTGTACAAGATGAATCCGGATTTGCTATGGAACATGTACTTCATTACTATCTTGAAGCTATTCCAGAGCGCTTCACTACCAAAATTCTATGGCTCCATAATTTTCCCTTTGGCGAGAGCACTTGTCTCAATTGGGTTCTCTTCGTTCAACTGGGGATTGAGGAAGTCATTGAGGATAGAATCAACAAGCTGGAGTGGTTGAAGTTGCTAAGCATTCAGAAGACCATCTATAGAGTGCTCGTCTTGGAATTCCTTAGTACACTCACTATTCAAGATCTTCGAAATGCTGTAGATTTAGAAAACAACATTGAATTTAGACTTGGAGGAGAGCATCACCAATGTCAATTCGTGAATTCATAAGAGCTTTAGATATATATCCACCAGACTTTGTGGATTCTTTGGATGAATTTCCTACCTTGACTAAGGAGAGTGACTTTCTATGATTCAAGACATTTTATGAATATGAAGTCAAAGAGGCAGCTAACTGACACTGGGATGTTAAGTTGCCTAAGGCTAGTGAGCTAAACCGGAGTGGAGATTGACCCACAACTTGATTGCTAGGTTCGTGAGTAGACAATACAATAGTAAAGGCAACTTGACTGCCAGGGATGTCACGTTTCTTCGTAGTATGCATACTTCTCAGCCCTTGAATCTAGGTTTGGCGATCCTCAATACCCTGAATTGATATGAGAAGGATCATCGACCTGCAGCATTGCACGGAGGAGTGTACGTCACCCGAATCTCTCGGTTCTTCGAGGTTGACTATAGAGATGTTATATTTTGCATGGATTCGAGAATGACACCTATATCCTTTGAGACCCTAAAGTCGTAGATTAAGATTGTAACTCTGAGCGAGAATGGTATTTCGGGTCTTCATGGCTTTCCCTTTCCACCCAAAAATCAATTGGATATGGAGGGCCCGGTGTTTCGTCTTCGGGTTCCTACCAACCGACGTGCAACTAGACAACAAATGGAAGTGAGTGGCGAGGAAAGCCAAGAAGCAAGCATGCAAGAAAAGGAGGTGGCATATAAACCAATCTATCACCCGACAAGCTCAACTATCAAGCGACCTAGAAACTATTATACCGAGGCAATGATAGCGACCATCCTCCAAAGCCAAAGATGGGAGAAGGAAGAAAGGAAACACCTGATGGCGTGCATACATGCAAACATGGAAAAAATGGGAATCCCTTTGTCGGATATCCTCCGACCATTCGTGTGCTCGCATTTCCCCAAACATCATCAACAAAGAGAAGAGAAAGAATCCACCAGGAGAATTAAGTCTTAGGCATCCAGGGTGATGCGAGACCAAACCTCACTTCCCAAGCCCAAATCCACAACAGGAGAGGCGAGAGGGAAGGTGGGACAAGCAGAGCCAAGCGGGGAATCACAGGCTACTTTTCCCCAATCAGGGAAAGGAAGCAAAGACCGCGGAACGCAGGTTGGAGGGGCCCTTGTTAGTGGACTTCAATACCCGACTAGGTATTTTGACCGGATTTCGGGGCTGAGTGACGGGATTTTGTAATTTCTAGTTATTTTAAATGTCCAAACCTATATAAAGGTTGAAACTCAGGGTTTATGGTTAGTTTTTAGCCAAATATTGATTTTTATCTTGGTTTTGAGATTTAGACTCAAACTTTTCTCTGTATCAATCAAGTATTTCACTTTATTGTGGTAGAGATTCTACCTATTATATTGATAGAGCCTTCTCCCGATTTCGTGTTGAGATTGCACTTTCAATTCCATCCCATTTCAAACAAACAAAAACCCCAAACAATACCTTTCTAATTCGTTCTTGAATTTGCGTACTTTGATAACTACGGGTACTGTATACGTGCTCGTATCAAGTGGTATCAGATCCCCAGTTCAACAGAGTGGTGAGATCGAAGGCGAAAGGACCTGTTTCTTCTTGTACGAGGTTCAAAGATCCCATAGCACACCGCATATTAGAAGAGGAGTCGTCGTCCGAGGAAGAAATCCCATTGAAGAACCCACAATGGTTAAGTCGCAGGTTAATATGTCTGAACTATTGAAAACCATCTTGGTGCAATTGAATGCAACCTTCCAAGTTCAAATCGATCAGATTAACTAGCGACTGGATACCCTAGCACCGCCAAACAACGCAGTCCCGCTGGGAGCTATAGTAGGACTCCATCTGATGTCGAAGGGAGATCGAAAGCAAGGAATTCCGACTAGAACCGATCAAGGCCTAGATGAAAGACTTCGCAACCTGGAGCGAAGATTGATCACAACAGAGTCCTATCAAGTGCGTCAAGAACACAAGCTTCATGATTATGGTGGGAGACCACTAGAAGCCGGACACGCATAAACTGTTGCAGGATTGCGCGAAATAAAGCTGTCAATTCCGTTGTTTCAAGGATCTCTCAATGCTTCTGCATACCTGGATTGGGAGTGGAAAATCATCTTGTTCTTCCAATGTGGCAAATACAACGAGAAACAAAAGGTATCCCTAGCCACATATGAATTTATTGATTATGCTAGCGTATGGTTGAATTTATTGATTATGCTGGCGTGTGGAGTGAATTGAGAGGGCTCATGAGAGAGGTTCGTGCCAGGATACTATCAAAGAGAGCTCTTTGATTCCTTATAGGTAATTCGGTAGGGAGCATGATCTGTTGAGGAGTATTTTCGGGAGCTTAAACTGCTCATTATTAGATTAGATGTGAGTAAGGACAAGGAAGCAACAATTTCTCGCTTCTTACATGGGATCAACAGAGAGAACAAGCACAAAGTTAAGCTTTGTCAGTTTGTGGAGCTGGAGGATGTGCTCGGGAAGAAGGTACAACCTTCGCCCAAAGCATTTACAGAGGGCAATACTGAGGCCAATGTAAATCACTCTAGGGTAGAAGGTGGCAGACTAGCAGCTAGGAATACAACCCTAGTCATCCAAGCTAAGAATGAAGGCTCAACTAGAAGCACCCAATGCTTTATGTGCTTTGGACGAGGTCACAAGGCCAATCATTGCCCCAACGAGAAGGCTCTGGTCTTACGAGATGAAGAATATTTTTTGAGGAGGAGTATAAAGAGAATCCCATGGGGAATGGATGCGACTCTAATGATGATTCTGATGATGATGATGATGTGGATGAGCACATCAAGGCTGAGAAACCTCCAACCGGTAAACTTCTTGGAGTGAACCATAAAGCTTTATCTATTGAAGCTTACATAGAGACAAAGCAGAGGGATAATCTTTTCCACTCTCGTTGCCTGGTCGACGGGAAGGTGTTGTCTGTGGTCATCGATGGTGGTAGTTGCACCAATGTGAATAGTCTGGATTAGGCCTATCGGTTCGGTTCGGGTAACCGAACCCGAAAACCGCAAAAAACCGAAACCCAAAACCGGCTCCGACAAACCCGAAACCGAATTTGTGTGGCTGCGGGTTGCGGGTTCAGAAACCCGAAAAAATCACTGGTGGTTTCTTTGGAACACTCTTTTTTGCATTCGGTGCACCGTTCTTAAATGTCAAACCCCTCAACAACAGAAACTTCCTTTCCACCATAACACAAAATCCATAGATGGCATCCCTCATAGCTCTTAGAAAAACGACCGCTGCCCCTGCCGGATTCTTCAGGAGGCTCACTGCAGGCCGCTCATCTGCTTGTTCCCGCTCCTTCGACACTGGAACACCTGGGTACGCCGGAGATGAAAACGACACCGGTCAGGTTGACAACGCCCCCAGCCGCCGCAACGACGACGACTCCAACCGCCAGGGCCTCTCTTCCTCCTCGGATCGTGGACTTGCTCCCCGACGAGACTCTGCTCCAGCTGGCTTCTTCCTCAGAGGTACAAACAAGCTACCGTTTCTATAATTTCTTGTTCGGTTCGCGTCAAGGTTTGACCTCCGGTATTGTGCACAGATATGGTGGATGCATGCTTCTTTCTCTGCATGCAGTTTCTTTCTGGTCTGGTCAGAAGAAATGAAGGATGCCCTTCTGGAAGTCATCCCTCTGGAGCAGAGAGGCAACAGAAGGAACTGATCCAGCACCACCATTGCTGATACTGCTGTTAGTGTTGTTATGATTTGTGGTAGAGGGGTTGTCGTGGTTCAGATGCATACCCATGAGAAAAGGCTGGTTTTGTTGGTGATGCTGCATGCAATTGCTGGATTGGGACGATGTTGGAATCACTTATTCATTGATCCAGAAAAACCCAATTCGATTTGATTCTGCTTTTTTATTAGATTGGCATCTGGGATTTCTTTTGCTGTTTGGACCAAATCAACACCAGTTCGGTTTCATATCGCAGAAAGCAAATTGCAGAAGCAACGATCAACACCAGTTCGGTTTCATATCGCAGTGGATTGGTCTCCTGAAATCGTCGAAAAAGATCAACCGACACTCAATTGAGGGAGAATCAGAGAAAAGGAAGAATTGGATGAAGGGGAAACAGGGATCAAAAGGGGTTACTTCATCACAGATGGAAAATCGGGAAATGGGTTGTTCGAAAGGAGGAGAGGAAGAAGAAGAAGTATTGATGATGACGAAGAAAAGGAAAAGATAAGGGTAAAGGGTGATCGGTAGCTTGGGATGGAAATTGAAACAGAGAAGAAAGAGAAATATAATTCCCTGGCAGATGTTTATTTATTTGTAGATAGGGCTGAGGCCTGTCAATTTTCGGTTTTTCGGGTTTCAGTAACCCGAAACCGCTATTATATATACCAGGTTGAAACCGCAAAAACCGAAACCGAGAATGCAAATACCGGTTCGGGTTCGGGTTAAACCGAAAACCCGAAACCGAATTGACAGGCCTAGTCTGGATGCAGTCAAGAAGCTGGGATTGAGCACCATCAAGCATCCTCAACCATACACCATGCATTAGATGAACGATTATGGGAATATCAAAGTCAACATGAAGCCCAAGGTTTGTTTTCAGATTCCTGATTATGCATATGAGATTTGGTGTGATGATGCTCCAATGCAGGATGTTCATCTCCTATTGGGTCTTCCATGGCAATATGATCGAGATGTTATCCATGATGGAAGCCACAACAACTACCGGTTCAAGAAAGGAGATCAGAAGTTTCTGCTGAATCCATTGTCACAAGCTAAAGTTCATAAAGATCAATGACAAATGGAGCTGAACTGGGCCAAGGATAAAGGAAAAGCCAGTGGTTTGACTTTGGAGGACGGAACTGGAGCACATTTGCTGGTTCAAAAGAACATGTTGACTGCAATGAGGAGATGTCCATGTGGAAATGTTGTTGATGTTGTTCCTTGCAGGAAAACACCAGTTTTGAGCACAATGCTTCTCCAACGGGGAGTGACTGATGTGAGTCAAAGCCTCATTTTCTAGGCCCAAATCCAAGACAGGAGAGGCCAGAGAGAGGGTTGACAAGCAGAGCCGAGTAGGGAATTGCAGGCTATTTCCCCCGTTCGGGGAAAGGAAGGAAAGGTCGGGGAACGCAGGTAGGAGGGCCCCCGGTCAGTGAACTAAAATACCATATCAGGAATTTTGACCGGGTTTCAAGGCTGAGTGACGGGATTTCGAGATTTTTAGTTATTTTTATTATTTTGTAATTCCAGACCTATATAAAGGCTGAAACTCTGGTTTACGTTAGTTTTTAGCAGAATATTAATTTTTATCTTGGTATTGCACTTTAGGCTTGAACTTTTCTCTGTATCAATCAAGTTTTCCCCTTGATTTTGGTCAAGATTTTACCTATTATATTGATAGAGCCTTCTCCCGATTTCGTGTTGAGATTACACTTTTAAATCCATCCTATCCCAAACAAACAAAAAACCTCCAAAAATACATTTCTCGTTCGTTCTTGAAGCTGCTTACTTTGACGACTATGGATACCAGATTCGTATTCGTATCACAAGGCCTACTTTTCTATCTTTCATTTCTTTACTTTTCTTCTTTTGACAATAAACAATGTCTATTATTATGTCTTATTTTCGTACTTCGTATTACCTAGTAGTAGTAACTTAAATACTTATTATCTATGTTTATTTTGTCGTGTAATACTTATTATCTATGTTTATTTTGTCGTATAACCTTCTTGTTTTTACTGTCGTTCTACTTATGGTCTTCATCGTTGCATACAAACCAGGAAGTTAAAGACCTACAATTGTGCACCAACATCAACCCAACCAAACACCCTATGGTAACGATATACAAACCTACCTTCGAGTTCCCACATTGAGGACAATATGTATCTCAAGTGTGTGTGTTGGGGGGGGGGGTTGTATGCTTGATTGAATGATTCGCGAATGATTTTTTTCCATAAGTTGGTAGTAGCCTCCCTTACTCGTGAATGTAAGACGTTGATGATCGTTTGTGGGAATGGTTGCTATTGATTAGTTGTGTTTTGGTGTGTTGAATGGCTTATATTTGGTGTTTGGAACCTTGATGACATACCCAAAAAATTTCAAATTTGAGGGTTCCAAAAATCTTGTCCCTAGCATCTATCCTCTTAATGTGCTTTGAACTGATAAATAGTCGGAGTAGTTTGCATTTACCATGATTGTCAGTGTATGAGTGATTTTACCCTCTTCCTCTTTTGGGAGTCGATAGTGTTTGATACTGCCCTACTTAGTTAAAGACACGTGTGTGGGAATTTCTACCCTATTGGAATAAAAAAGTTTGCAAATTGTGTTCATTTTGAAAAAAAATCAAGAAGGTTTCTTGAAAAATTGAGGTTTTCATGTGAGAGTCAACCGAGCATAGTGTTTGAGTTGAGCTGTCAAAGGACTCTTCTCTCGGTTTGGAGTGCCGATTTAGGATGTGTTTGGGGTTCAGATAGCTTTACCGAATCACGATCATCTGTTACTATCCACCCCCCAAACACATCTCCTTATCACGGGTTCGTAGACAAGGTTTAAATGCACCTTTTAGCTAACCATGAGACCTCGCCTCTTGTTTGAACCTGACATCTGTGGCACACTCGTCTGTCTTTGAGAATAGGTATATGGGCTGGGAAGTGGTGCTCGGGAAATGGATCCTACCATCATGTTCCCCACATGATGCCATGCTCGGGAAGGCAATGTTTAATGTGGCTTGGTTACGATGTAGATATGCCAATTTTCAAGGAAAATTACAAATGCTTGATGCCAATGCGGGAAAGTTTGAAATAGAGGAAAATCATGGTAAAATTGACTCATATCTTAACAAAAAGAATAAAGAGCGTCCATAGAGTCCATTGTTTTCATTGTTTTTGAAAGTTCCCCGGTGCAGACTTTGTAAGCCTAGACCTAATTAGTTGACATGATCCTCATCCGGGAGTTTTTGTTTACTCAGTAGGATGGGAGCAATGTTTACTTGACCCCAACTACTCTAACTAGTGCAACGAAGAACTATAGCTTACTCCATATTTATTGTTTATTAAGTTGTACTAGTTTGAGTTGGATTGCTTCGAGACAAGCAAACACCTTAGTATGGGGGAGTTGATAACACTCAAATTAGTGTTATTTAGAACCCATATTTAGGCTTGTTTCAAGTCATTTTATGTAATGCATGGTAAACATATCGCTAATTATACCCCTTATTTGTTCCTTTGACAAAATGTTAGTATATTAAGGTGTATTGGATTGCATGAATATTTTTAGGTAAAAAAATGTGCACAAGTGTAGATAAATGGTAGAAATCCATAGATCACAACCGGCGCATGAAACTCACGGTCGAGAACATAAGGCACGAAGCTGAGGACCAAGATCGCATTGTCTTGACCAAAGATCACGATCGCGAAGATGGAGGTCCTAGGCGCGAACATTTGGAGCATCGAACAAGGAAGGAGCAGAAAGTCTTGATAGTCCCCTCACACCCTTCTTCATCCTAGCCAGCGAGAAAGATCGTGGCCACGAGTTACGGATCGCGATTGTGAACTCGGACCATGAGCTTCCCAACTTCATAACACAAAATTGCAGGCTCAAGATCGCGACCTTCCCTCTCAAGATCACTGTCGCGAACTTTGCCCCCTTCATCTTGAACTTGCCTGAATCCTGGAAATCTATAAATAAGGGGTTACTCCCCCTACTTGGAGAGATGAAATTGAATTGAAGATTTATGGTTTGAAGAGAGAGAAATTTAGAGAGAGTAGCTGAAGGAAGGAGAAGAAGAAGAGAAGGGGAGGAGTAGAAGGAAGGAAGCTCTCCCACAACAAGGCTTCTTTTATTTTCTTCCCCCCTTTATGGGGTAGTTGTATAAGGTACTAGGGGTTAAACCCCCAAATCCTATATTTAGGTTTTGAATGTAGATGCAATTATGTTATGGTTTGTGAATAGATATTTTGTTTTAGTGAATTTATGCTTCATTGATGCGTAATTATGCTTCGGTAAGTCGCTTAACTCTTTCGTACTAGCTGATGACTTGATATATACACATGTTTTTATCCATATTCTTAAGCTGTTTGAGCCTCATTTCTCGTATCTTAAGCCGATTTCATGCTAGGTTGTTCTCATTTGTGTTATTTCAGGTCCTAGTACGTGATTGGAGGTTTGGCAGCGAGTTTCGCGTCGATTGGACGAAAGTTGGAAGTCTGGCGAGAAGCTGAGGAATCCACACGGCCGTGTGGTGTGGCCGTGTGCAATCCCATTACGCGGCCAAGCCACACTGGCCGTGTATTGGACCCCTTGTGGCCGTGTGGAAATTCCAGGGAGCTCACACGGTCAGGCTGAGAATCCACACGGCCGTGCGCTTCTGGCCGTGCAGCGTGCCTGAAGACCACTTAATTGAAACGCGGCTTTTTCGCATCCACACGGGCAGACTGGAAAGCCACACGGGCAGACTGGAAAGCCACACGGACGTGTGGCCTGGCCGTGTGGTCGAGAAATTCTGGGTTTTAACCCAATTTCAAGCCTAAGGAGAGGGAATGGATTTTCTGGAGCAAAAACAGAGCCCTAGAGAGAGAAAGTGCGAAGAACACCCCCTAAGAGTGATTTTGGAGCTGGGTTTCATCAATCAAGATTGGAAATCATCCTTGGAGTGAAAATCATCATCCCAGAGCAGATTCTTCCCATCTTAATGAGTATGACTGTTTTGTTTGCTGTTTTCCTCTAT